GGGCTGTCCTGATTGAAAAGCTGAATTTGAGTGAACAAAATTCATTGTCTTATCCATATACACACACAATAGCACCCCCTCTCGCTCAGTTTTTTCATTTGCGCAACTCTCTGTAACGGTGTACAGAGAGTTGAGCGTACGAAGCAGAGAATGTTGTGAGCGCAAGCAACAAATTGCGAGCAAGCGCAAATGAAAAAACTGAGCGAGAGGGGGTGCTATTTTGTGTGTATATGGATAAGCGCAAACACTGAAATACGTTTTTTGCACGCAGCAATGAATTTTGTTCACTCAAATTCAGCTTTTGTACGCTCAAAATAAATTTCTCCTCAAAATGCAACACTTGCACCTGCAATTTTTTTTTTACATGCGCTCAAATTTTTTTTACGTGTCCTCAGAATAGTGGCACAAAAATAACGCCATAGTGTGGAAGCAATTTTCCACACCAGCTTATTAATCAACCAAAGACCAAGACAGACTTTTAATTCATTTGAAACCATGGGCCTTACACAGTTTCTGTCTAATTTCTCAAAATTTTTTATCTGATTTAGCCTTCAGTTAATCCAAAATGCTGCAGCCAGAGTGCTGACAGGCACTGGAAAGCGAGAGGATATCTCTCTTATTTTGGCTTCACTTCATTGGCTTCCTGTTAAATCCAGAATTGAATTCAAAATCCTGCTCCTCACACACAAGGTCTTAAATACTCAGGCTCCATCTTATCTTAATGACCTTATAGTAACATATCACCCCATTAGAGCACTTTGCTTTCACACTCCAGGCCTACTTGTTGTTCCTAGAGTATTTAAAAGTAGAATGGGAGGGAGAGCCTTCAGTTTTTAGGCCTCTCTTCTGAGGAACCAGCTTCCATTTTGGATTCGGGAGATGGACACTATCTCTACTTTTAAGATTAGGCTTAAAACTTTCCGACCAACTGGCCGCTCCTCCCTGAGCCTGGTTCTGCCGGAGGTTTCTTCCTGTTAAAAGAGAGTTTTTCCTTCCCACCTTCGTCAAAGTGCTTGCTCATAGGGGGTCATATGATTGTTGGGTTCTTCCCTGTATGTAATATTGTAGAGTCCACCTTACAATATAAAGTTCTTTGAGGCAAAATAAAAGTGTGTTGTATGCGTATGGAATGTTAAGCTGTTGTTTTTTTTTTATCAATCCTGCTGTCCCATGCTTTTAAACTCATCACCACTGTTGCTTAATCATTTTGTTGTCTGCCTTCTGCAACCCAATCATGCTCTGTTCCATGTACTTTAAATCTCCTATCCTACTTTGTGCTGTTGTTAGAAACCAATCTGCTATTTAGCTTTATAGGAGTCTGCCTTATTATTTATGTCAATATTATAAATTCTGTTCACTTTTTTAAAATGCTTTCTTCCTATAAACTTGTTATCCGATACTATTAAAATCCTCAAAAAAGACATCAAAAACACAAATAGAATTCCAGTTCAGTGGTTGGAATTAGTGGAGGTAATGCTTAGTAGAAAAGAGCTGGGTATAGCTACCAGCAGAAATACCTCAATCTTTAAGCATGAACAAAAACAGTTTAGTTATATAAAAAGTTCAACTTATGAGGTGGAAAATATCCATAGAGACCGTAGCAGGGCTGGAAACATATAAGAATGCTAATATGGGAGAATATGGGAACTGACTTACTTTTAGATTTGGTCTCACGTTGACACTGAAAGATAGCCAGCCCAGGAGGTTACTGTTTGGTTCTACCACAACAAGCACATGAACATTTATTAATCTATCTATCCACTATTTGGCACTGGCCACAAGGCCTCAGAAAAGTTTCTGCTGTTTTAGGTCAGCCTGCGAGACCAGTTCCAACCTTTTATTCAATGAATGAACAACATGGAACAACTACTTATAATAAAAAAAAAACAGCTATGAGAAAAAATTACAGGACTTAAAACAAGACTTGATCAAATTAACATGGAACTTGTGAAGCTGAAACCACCAAAAAAAGAAAATAAATCAAAACATAGAAAATAAAATAATATAAATAAAATAAATAATTATGACCTGCCTTATTAAAACAAATCCATAAGTAATGTTAGGAGCAGATTGATGCAACTATTTACTTTTAAATAAATTATATTTGCCAATCAAAAGAAGCATCTAGCTGAGAGGTTCACCCCTAATACTAAAATCCTGGCACAGTCTCACCGCACTCTTGTCACAGGTGCATTTAAAGTTTTCTCTCCCGAGTCATATGTTTAGTTAAGATCAGTATGAAAACTGTTTCCAGATATCTGTTTAATGCTCACAAGAGACCTTACAGTATAGAGATTTTGATTTTACATATCTTCCATATCTTTTATGTAATATATACTGTTACATTGATGGATGCTTACAATAAACATGATGACATCAGTCTATGTGCAAGTAACCCCAGTCAGCCAAAAGTTTAGACAAAATTCCCACCCACCCGATATTCAAAAGGGAAGCCAATTAGAAGAAAGTCTACTTAATGGGAAGATGGCCTCAAAAGATGAAGAGCTAAAAATAAAAATATAGAGTGGAAAACGATAAGCCCAAAATTGGGGTTTCAGCAAACAGTTGTGGTAGTCACTGAGGGTGATTCTTACGCACATTCATTAAAGGACCCAATGATAGCTTGGTTAATTATTTATACAGCAGCATTTGACCACATCATGGTATAATTTTCATTTTCTTTCCACATGATAATTCCCTGTATTTAACATAAAATATCTGCACAAGGTCTACAAAACATAATTACAGAAAATTTCTGTATTTTTACATGACAGTGAATTTTCATTGTATTGCAGTTTATTGTGGAATATTTTCCACAGTGTAGACTTTAATACATTATAGGTATTGTCTTTGTATGTCATGGTCCTGCTTCTTTGACCCAGAGTTTTTGTACTTATTTTTGTTTAAGAGAATAATGTTGGACTACCGAATGTTATTTTCTAGGTTATCTTGAGTTTTGGGTTTGAGCTTCTGTTCTTTGTTTCTGTTCTAGTTTCTGAACGTGTCACCTTCCAGGGCCTCTGTGTTGGTATTTATAATTCTTCATTTCTGGTTTGTTCATGTCTGCCCTAGTCATGTCCAGTGTCTGTTACTTCCTCTTTTATTTTGATAGTCTCCTGTCCTGTGTGTGTCATGTTCAGTTTTGCTTCCTTTGCCTCAAGGGTCCAGATTTGTGCTGTGCTCCCACCTGTGGTCTGTTCCTGTGTTTGCCCTTGTGTGTATTTAATGTCTGCATCTTCCTCTGTCCGGTGTTGCAATCTTCCTCATGGTATATGATCCTTGAGTTAGTTTAATTCCTGTTTTTGTTGCTTCATCTGTTCCAGCAAATACAGCTGTGGTTTTGTAAATTAGGCTTCATACCCATTCTTTGACAAAATAACTAAACAGACAAATTGAATAGATGTTCATTTCAAATGAGGCCTCATACAGTTTGCTTTTACAGTTTTTTACTATTGTTCCAAATGGGCAAAAATTCTTTAGAAGTGCAAGGCTGTTAACCCAAACTATACCTGTACTTGTAATAATGTTGCTATTACATTACATGTTGCTATATCCATTGTTAATGTTAATAGATGAAAGTCCTGCACTAATACTTGTTTAATTAGCACCCATGTTTCCATCGCTTCATTTGTCTTTCTGAACAGTGTACTCACTCCCATTCCTATGTAAGGCTATCTATGATGAATTAGATGTGTGAGGAAGACATGGTCTGTGTTTTTATGCATTTGCTTGTTTTTATTCATGAAGTAATTTCATACAAAAGAAATACATGAAATATAACTGTAAGTGAAGATTATGGTCCTGATAAGTGACTTTCACATTTTCTTCTCTCCATCCATTCATTCCTCTACTCTGTGTCTCTGTGTTGTGTCGCTCACAAGGCAGAGTGTACAGAATGGAAAACTCGAGCCCCTTGCTAGATACAGAGAGTCTATGAATAGGTCAAAGGTTGTTAATGAATGTTGTTTTCCTTCTCTGTTGATACCATCCCACCACTAAGCCCTTGTGTTTAAAGCTGTCAAGTGCCAAGCCAGAACCATTACAGCCTCGGGATAAATACAGAACATCCACATTAATCCTTTGTGTGTGTGAGTGTGTGTGTGTTGCTGCTTCTGCAGCAGCTCCTGAAAAGGCTGATGTTGTCAAAGTCATTGTGCTGTATTTTAAGGACAAAGAAATTGGGTTAAGTCAGGAGGAAATCTACAATGGACGAGGACACAAACAAACCTGCACAGATGCATTTGTGCAGTACGTAGGAAATGGAAGAGTGTGTGTGTATAAATACCCATATCATCAACAGTGCTGTGGAAGCCAGTGTCTGAGAGGGTTTTGAGGCTTTGTGCTCATAAATCATACTGAACAGGAGAGACCAGTGGAGGATATGCTTAAACTTACTTGGCTAGAGCTGGTTTTCAAACCCTATCTTCCATTTTTTCTCTTTTTCTGTAATCTTACCTTCTTT